TTTTTCTTACTGGATTGCGACGTATCTGATTGGGACCTCATCATATACATTTTCGTATTGTATTGATACCGTTGCTGTGTTGATTGGTTTGGTGCAAAATATCTTTGACTATGCCTTTCGTTTTGTCCTTTTGGATTCAAAAATCCAACGCGTATTCTACGATAGCCGATCTTACGGCGGTTTAACTGGGATATCGCCATTTGGGCGTCCTCCATTGTTGACACCTTTACAATAGCAAAACATCCAGATTCTGGCTGACGTATTACTTGGAGTTGAAATGTATTTTGAATGACAGACTGAACATGGACGATCAATATGCGTCGCAACTCTGACGGAGACACAGAAGGTTCAAGATTGGATATAATTAGCTGAATTAAATTCGAGTTCCTTCCATGGAACTGCTGGTTTGTAAACGCATGCACTGGCCCAACAAGTCCATTTGTCACATTCTCTTGGGTCGTGTGCATTATTAAGCGTGATTAATTAGGATCCCAAGTAAAAATTTTCTAGAAGTCTTTTTTGCTTGAGGATGGAGTAAAATATGTGTAGCAGCCTATGGGCTTAATGCCATACCATACAAACGTTGTAGGCAACAAATTTACCAAAACTTTGGTAAAATAGGTTGGATGTCTAAAAAAGGCAGAATGCAAAAAATATGTAGCATGGAGGAGGGTGCTTTGTGAATTTAAGCAAAGGCCGTCTTAGAATTAAAGGGTTCAGTGGTAAATTGTATTTAAGGTTAGGTTAGAACAAAACACATTTAGCCACTAGATCGAGTAGTTTTGTTCCCGATTACTAGTAGTTCTTAATAAGAGCACTGCTTAGACCCTGAATTATTCAAATAACTAATTTCTTTGTCATGACAAAGTTGTCATTTCTAGCAATGTCATCACTATTTTAGCAGGTAATGTCGGCATAAAAATTTGGCTGAAATAGTAAACAAATAGTGGGCAGTGGTCAAAATTTTGTGGCAAAAACGTACACTTTACTCTGCGCGAGTATTTGTAACTAAGGGGAATTCACCTTTGAAAGCTTGCTGCTTGTTGAAATGTGGCCTTTATCAAGGAAAACAAAAACCAATATTTATTAATGACGTCTTCAAAATTTGGAAAACAAACCCCGTAAAGATTATTGACGTAAAACAATTATTGGTTCTTTTGTCAAAGCATCGAAATGGCTCATAGCAGCAAGCAAAATGCATCATCATGCGAATTTTATATCTTCAAACAGTTTTAAAAGAATCCTAAAAGCTATCAGTTGCAATCAGTCATATGTTGCTGGATTTAGTAGTCAAAAGCATCTCCTTAATTCTTAGGCACACTTTTCCCCCCAATATTTTCACACCATCAGCATATTTTAATGTGGTTTTAGTGGATAAACTGCATCGTAATTAATCATATGAAAGCGCCTTACAAAAGCTGTAGCCCCCTTAGGCTTTTCCAAAGACGAACAAAGTCATAGCATTTAGGCAGAATTGGTATTGACGGCGTGAACCAGGGCTTAAGGCCACTGCAATGTCCCGAAGTCTAGCCCACCCGGTGAAGTTAGTGGCAGAGCACCTAGACGGCTTCTTTACCAAATCCGTGAGTTAGACAACCGATGTATCACAAAAGCATCCCCATATCTCTGCACACGCCCCACAATCGACATCCCAGCTCCCAGATAGGGTTGACCCCGATCCAGTTTAGGCCGGTCACTTCTAAACTCCGTTAAGCCTAAGCACCCTTCTTAATTAAGTTTGACCTTGGTGAGCGTGCGGTCATCCAGTCAGCTGTTGGATGTTTGGTGAATTCCGTCCAAACTTCTTGCAAAAATGCTCACTCACTCCGCGACTTGGAAGATGTCGAATCGCACCCGCTAGTGTTGCAGCACGAGTCTCCGCACGGGAGCCCTCAAACCCATGCAGAACGCTGCATAGCAGGCATTCCCGGCTCCTTCCGAAAGGATTCTGTTTATTTTTTACGTCCACTATACCAAATGCGCCGCTTTTAAAAATAAAATTCAAGTTATGGGTGTGACACATGACTGGCTGCTGGCGACATCAAAAGTTGTTGTGAAGATGTTAATGCATAACAAGGCCGGAGAAAACATCCGTCGCAAGCATTCGAAAGCATCACCGTTTCAAACCGCACTCTGACTGATTGTCCACCAATCCTCACCCATGGATGGTAATTTTTTCTGAGTGTTATTCAAATGAGACCATGGAGAGCCGGCGGTGTTTTGAGGAGGAAGTGGTGGTGGTGGTGGTGGTACTGGTAATGGATAGGTATCCTCCACACTGCTCCCGCCACTCGATGACGTATCATTAGCGCTAGGACAGAGCAGGGCCTCATTAGACTCAGCCATCGGTACAGTTAACATGCCCTGCGACTGCACCGACACCGGTTCTATGGTCTCCTGTTCCGCCGACCGCTCGGGTTTTTCGGGGGCCGCCGTTATCGACACTGGCGTTGGTTCGTGGATCACAGGGGTGGAAGACTTGGCTCGAGTTGATGGCGTCATACAACGCATTGCAAACTTCAGCTCTTTCCACATTTCGGAGAATAGTGCTCCCTAAAATGGGCGATTAAACTTCATCTACTTTCAATTACAATGTGCTCTAAGACATTTTAGTGTCTTCCCACCTGTGATTTCACGCATGCCTTGTTGTGCACGCAGAATTCGATGACAGAGACAATGAAGGCCCAGAAGAAACCAATGATGAGGAGAACGAAAACACCGCCGACCTGTTCGATGCCGAGGGGTTTGGCCTCTTTGCTGCCCTCCTTGGCATTAGCACAGGGCTCTGAGATGTTAAACTCGGTCCACCATTTTCGTTTCAACTGGTCCAATGTCTGAGCCTTCTGCAGCTTCAAAATCGACTCGGATATCGGATCACGATAAGGGGAGCCTTTACGTATGTAAAAGAATTCAAACATGAATGAGGTACATGCAAGCTAACAAAAATACGCGAAATGTGTGTCTAAAAACGTCATTTGGGGAAAGAGATCAATCCATGACAGGGTTTGAGCTTCAATGTCACTTAACGTGGGCCAATAAATGTTTTGAGTCGTGCGCTCAGGCTTCAGCTATGCCTATCAACAGACCCAAGCTCCATTTTTAATCTGATTGTTAAATTTCATTGAACATAGCTTTATCTTAACATTTTTTTTGTTAAGAACTCACACAAATATCACTTCCACTTGCTTACGATGAGTCCATACGACGAATCTGCAAATCCATCAATGGATATTATGACCTTTGTGAGGAATCTCTATAAGCAGCGGCGACATTGACATTTGACAGGAACAAGGAATCATTAAAAATAATAAGAGCTTATGCGGAATCGGTTCCATTATTCAAAAAAACTATTCAGGTTTGCTGAAATTTGTTTAGAGTTTTCAGAAACACTACATGCTTTATAGAATCGGATACAACTCAAAACTACTGTTAAGTTTCAAACAGCTTAACATTGAATTGGAGATTTAAGTTAAAAGTGAGTGTAAATGAGCTTAAGAAGCAGAAGTGCACACACTATTTATCCACAATTGGCCCATTGGTGCTCACCGTGTCGTGCGCTGACACTATCTAATGTACTATTTGCATCCACTTAACTGTTGCTATGTCAACAGTCAGACATAGGAGAGCAGGGGGACAGACGCGTCCCAAAAAGAAGTACTGACCAAATCACGTCTTAATAAACGATGAACAGTCTTAGAACAAATTATTCAAGCAAAGTGGAACCATACCCTGTTGCAGCCCAATGCCATAACCCTTGGAGTCTAGCTGACGGCCAATTTGCATGAGACGGCAGTCGCGTTTGTTGTAGAACTCGTTCCACGATGACTCGAGGACAAAGACGTAGTCGCCTTTGAGGACGCGTTCAATGCCCTCCTCGGTGTTCTGAACAAAAACATCGTTCTTCGACATAAACTCCCACATCCTTTGGAACACTGGGATTCTGGAGTACTGGAAATGAAACAGTCGCGCCCTTCAACACATGAAAGTCTGAATATCCTGCAATAGTTTAAATGTTCTTTTAGTAACTTTTCCGGAATTTAATTTGTCAATTTATATTAAGGGCAAATTTCATAAACGAGCTTTTGCTGCAAACAGAATATTCCTCTCATTCATTCTGTGCACGATCAAGTCCTAGTAAAGCCCTTCATTTATGTCCTATGGAATGGGCCAACATCTGCACTTTGAAACGTGACTATTCCTTTGGCATTCAAACAGATTTTAGTTTATTTTAACTTCACTGCAAAGCGAACGAGAATATATATTGTCTGCCCGCTTGGCCCTTTAATGTGTTTGAGTTCACGGCATCACTCGAGAATATGGAAAGACGGAGCTCCTCTTTCGCGTACCTTAAAGAAATCGTGACTGGAGCCGGACTGCAGCGTACCGTATTTAATCTTGGTCTGAGCCACGAGGTCTTCCACACTCTCGATGGGCAATTCAGTCGTGTCAACAGTCAGAAAAGCCGCCAAGTTGGCTGTGTAGGTGGAGATGAGGATCAGCGCAAAGAACCACCAGATGCCCGTCAGTAGTCGTGTGGATATGGTATGCGGAGCCATCTCCGTACCTAATGGCAATGCACAGAAGAGTTCCGCGTTCAAAATTTAAATCTCAAAAATGTGGTCAGTGCTGACTCGTAGGTGATGGAGACATAAGAATTGAAGGAAGGGAAAGAAATAAAAAAGTTAAAGAAGCTGGTTACATTATCAAGAGAGTAAAGGCGGGAAAATTGTTTTCTGACAAACTTCAAGATGGTTGGTAAATAAAGAAGTTCTTTGGGAGCAGAAGGTGAGCGAATTTATTTACTTTGTTTAACTTGATGCCCGGGACGAGATGAGCGAGTGAGCATCGCACATGGAAACTTAAGCTTACCCATTTACGATTTATTAATTGCCATAAAAGCAGGGTAGTACTCGTTTAAAAACCCAAAGCTTGGAACCTGGCCGAGCTGAAAGTGTCATCGGCTTCGTAGTGTTATTTAGGAGTAGATAAGTAAGCTTATTTTAAAGCAAACAACACGGAGCCTGGATGTGAGCAATCCCAAAAAACAGAGGAGCACCTTGATTGAGAAGAGGTGTGATAAAGAACCAGAAACTGCTGAGCACCGTGAATTGATTCTCTTTTTCCTCCGAGAAGGCCTCGCAAGGATGAGGATTTTGCCACTCGTAGGGACTGAGACGAGCAACCAGGAAGAGCCCAACGGAGACAACGATGTAGGTCGTTATCACGTAAGCCCACACCTGAAGAGAAGAATGATGACGATGGGGAGTTTACTGAAATTAAGCCTAAATTATTAAACTAAAACCTGTAGTCTCTTCTTATTCTAAAGGAAGATTTATTCCAATCTTGGTAAAGTGAGTTAATGTACAAATGATTAAAACAAGCTTTAAGGTGTTGTCGATGAATATAAATAGGGCACGAACATGTAAAATGAGATTATTTCATATGGCAAACAGTTTCGAGCACTGGATATCTACAATGAACACGAAACTAAAAGTCGTTTACCCAATTACCTTATTAATTTAGCTTTGGATTCCATAACAAAGCCTGCATCTTAAACATTACTAAATCTGAAATAACGCAGCGACCTCTACAAAGCACAACTTTCAGAAAGTCTGCTTCCCCGCGAAATGCGCACACCTTTTGTTGGAAGCGGAAAAACGAATCACCTGTGACGGATAAAGGGACCCACGTCGAGGTCCTTGTTTACTGATTCCTCTGGTTTGAAACTTAACAGGATCCAAGCACACTCGCATAAACACCGTTTTGTAACATGTGGGGACTCAATATTAGGCCCTTGGATCTATCTAAGCTTGAAGTGCTACTCGGGAAACGGCTGTAGCTGATGGAATTGTCAACACAGGAGAAGGTTTCGACTGCGCCAACTTAGCCACCCGCAGCAGCCACACCATCAACAGAGAACATTGTTAATAGCGTAGTGAAGCTTCACTATGATCCGGAGGGCAATAACATCCCGTTTGATTCATAGCTTACTCTCCGAGGTGTATCAACGCCCAACCACTCTGAGGCAGGGGATACTACTTTGATCCAACCCGAGGGCTGCCTGATGTTTGGCAATCCTGCTGTTCTACCCAAGTCACTACATCTAAGACCACGGTCCCAATTTTACACTTGGCATTCTGGCGTAAACTGCATGAAGTCCATGGCCAGAAGTTTTGGTTTATTGGCTACACAAAAACATATTTATTTGGATAAAAGCTGTCTACATTACCGAACAGTGGCGAAAGACCCTCAGAAATCCCACCGATGCCCTAGCCTCACCTGGAGAGGCCCTGGCCAAGACTACACCTCAAATTCGCCAGCCCATTTGGTGGGTTATCTTCACTTTATTTTGGTGAATATCTCTAATGCGGTCGGAGACGGTGTCTGTGGTCTCCCCTAAGGCCACCAAGTCGCTACAAGTGTTGCGCAGTATCTTCAGCCAGCGCAGCCTGTCAGAGGAGTTATTCACAAACTAGGAAACAGAGGTCGCTTTGTGGGAATTCTAGGAGTTTTGCGTTAACACGCCAATGCGCATATTTGATCTCCACCACTTCGCCTCCAATCCACCAAGCAAGAGAATCTTCACTGACACATTCAAGCGAGCAGTATTGAGGTCAGAAGGGAAAGAAGCAACTGCCGATACCGACATTTCCAAAAACACCGAATGACTGTACAGAACCGAGAAGCTCCAAAGGATTTGCATCGGAAGCTTCACCAAAACTCAAAACAGGCAACAGCGACCAGTTACATCTGAGACGTACAGAGGAACCAGCGGCTCAACATGGTACTCCACAGATGTACATAGTTGTGAACACCGCCTCCACCCTTGGACTATACGTCAAAGAGAAATGGGTGTAAGAGACCCAGATCGGCCGACTTTCGCGTGCGCACACACTTTACACTCTGCTTACTCATACACGTCGACAGACAGCCATACCGACCGGACCCAAGGTCACGCGCATCACCACCACATCACAACAACGGGACATTTCCAAAATGGATCAAGCAATGACTTTATTCCGATTATGAGGCTAAAAAATACATAATAAAGTTTGAACGAGCATAAAGTGTCCCTTGCCTACGCCCATTTAGCAGTGGTGTATCAATTTCCCCGAACGGGATAAGATTCCCAGAGGATTACTTAATAACTCATAAACACAACAGCCAAAAAGCGATCAAGGTCAAGTGAGTCAGTGCATTTTGGAGTAAATTTATCTATCTGGATGAATTTTGTCCGTTGCGATTGAGAGAAGAAAAGAAAAACATTCGAGCTCCCTAGCCACTTGATCTCCCGTAGGAATAATGCAATTTGCAAGCTCAACCTAACCTTGCTCAAAATAGAAGGCAGAAAGGCTCTTTCTTTCTTTCCAGGAATCTGTATTCTCTATGCTTGAAATTCATGCAGGCTGCAGTTTTCGATGCCTTGCTGAAATCTCGGCAACAATTAGAGCCAAGTCAGAAGTTAGTTGGTGTACTGATGGTGGACAAAGTGAGCGCCACTTCTAACAAAATTTGCGGATGAGAGAAGGCAGAGAGAAAGCGCAAAAGGCAAGAGGGCTTCAGGAGAGTTGTTCCAAACTAACTCAAGTTTTTTTCATCCGTGTGTCAAAAGAGACTGGAATAGTAAAATCTCAAGGTCCACATTAAATGGTCGGAAATCAGTCAATGCATTTAATTAGCCCTGAAGAAGTGTGTTTAATTGTATAGGATAAGCCGTTATAACGTTCTTGTAAATCCGACAAAACAATCCAAGCTGCTAAGTAGCTAGCCCTTCAACATCGGCAAAGTGACACATATGCTATACTTGAGCAATTAGCGCAATCTGTCATCTGTCTGTCAACGAGCGATTACAAGCTACGATAAATTCGGACATAAAAATGGAATATTGGGAACTTGTGAAAGTGAATGGGTAGTGAGTAACTCACGGTAGGTGAGAGCGGTTGAAGGAAGGAGAAGATTGAGGGCTTTTGAGTTTTCGGTCGCATGAAAAGGAGACTCCCACCGAGGGTCATAAAGGGCGTACTGAAATCCAGAACCTGCTCTCTCTCATACGTAATCGTCAGAGCTGCCACGGCCATATCAGCTTCCTGTCAGTAAAATTGGGACAATTTGTACGAATGCCTTTTGTAAGGAAAACGCCACCCATACAGTTGATTGATGTGTGTGTGGTACTCCTGAGGGGATAATGAACGTAAAACAACTGGATTTCAACTTCTTAGCAAAGTAGTGGCTCTTATGCCATCCGTTTCTCGATGTTTCCCTAACAGTGTATGGTAAATATCAGTCTGCACCTCGTACTTTTGTCGGTAATAGGCTCGTTAAATGAATCTACCGTGCAACAACTTTGGTCACTGTGTTTTAGAGCAGTTTCGTAAAATTTGGAATGGCAAATCAACTAACTTTTGATTGACTACTCTGGTGTTTTTAGTTTCTCACTAGTCAGCTAGCACATCAGTATCATGGAGGCCCGCTCATTTCATTTTTGCTACAAATGGCGCAACCCTTCACCTTATTTACAACAAGGCCTTTTTTTAAGGGCTAAAGGTCACCATAATTCCGGGATTAACTCGGACACCACGATGTAGCAAAGTTATGAGCAATTTTTCTGGGAAAAATGGAGGAAGAATGTAAAGCCACTGCATCTTACGCCTCTGTGTACTACGCCGACAATGCCGTTGTAGTAGACCTCGCCCGATTCGTTGACGTGACGTGAGCCATAGTGATCCATGGTGATATCAATGGTATAGTTAAAGCCAACATCCTGAGAGATGAGGTTGAGAAGATCAACGCAGTAGCCTTCCCAGGCATCTGGGGTCTTCAGAGGCTGGCCGTAGGCATCGAACTTCTTGGGAATTACAAATGGCGTGTCCTAGAGGAAAGTAGACAATAGAATTTCCAATCTCCAACTACTGAATTAACTCGAAAGAATTACTGCCAATTGGAGAGATTGGTATCACACTGAATCACCACGCTTACTCACTTTGCATATTTGATTTCGTTCTATGTAATTTGACGCCACTTTCATCTTGAAGGTGGTATGAACCCATTGGCGTTTGCGCGATAAGCTAAAGGGTCTACTCGAATCAAGCAAATAAAATGCCTTACCACGATTTAAAACGATGGTGCTTTAAGCCCAGAAATGTGTAGTACTGGGGACTTTAGGCATGGCAAAAGGATGAAGAGAGTCTTACGCCGCCGACATGACGTACATAAGCAATACAATTCAAGGAGTTACGTACATTTCGACCATATATTGAGCATGGATTCGTCGTAATTCAGAACACCTAAGTGGATGTTTTCTAATGGTTGGTTATTTACCGTAAAGGACTAGAAGAGGTGCTCGAATTAGAGGCTGCTGCTCCTTTTACCTTGTATGGTAGGTTTTCAACGAAATAATATCTTAAAATAGTTTTGAGCGGTACTTACTATGAAGATCACGTGATGGGCTGAGGCTACAGGCATGGAAGAATTGGCCTTAATCAGATTTTCCCAAAAAATCCATCACATGTTTCTAGCAGTGTCCGAACAACAAAGCTAGATGTTTGGAAGAGGGGAGTGGGATAGAGTAGGAAGCATAGTTCACTGAGGCTTACAAGAAACAACAAAGGCAGGGGACCTATTCCCCTCATCTGAGTCATCTCTGAAAGCCCTCATAAGCACTGACTCAGACGGTCCAACAAACATCCCTCCTACGGTCTTACAGCGAGGTGAAGAGAACGGCAATTGGATGCTTTAGTGCTAAGACCTACGCATACCGCCTGTGAGGCACTGAATTCGCTAATAATAATTGATGCAATCTCAACGAGAGAGGGAGGGATGAAAATAGACCTCCTCATCTGTCAGCAGCAGCGGGAGGGAGGATAGGCGTTGACACGATTCAGTCGCGCAGACTCGCGAGAACACCATTCCTAAGTTTGGGAATGTCCCCCATCATCGGTGAATCATTCGAATAACGGTAGCTCACGCTTCATTGTCGACAAAATTAGCCAAGCCCCGAACACAATCACGTCTCACTACCGAAACCTCCCTCACCATATCAGCAAATGGGCTGCCACTTCGATGGCGTCATTACAAGTCTGAAGAACAGTGGCACGTTCGTCTTCTTTTCCAAGTCCAGCATTTGTTGGCTGACCAGGTGGCGGAGAAATATCTCGTAGTCAAGGTTTATAAATTACTGCCATAGATATGAAGCATACCGGAACAGTTGTTACCCTGAGGGTGACCGTTGTAAGCGGCTTCTTTGGGATCTTCTTTTTCTTCTTTATCGGGTGAGTAATCTGCAGACGATCTCTGTGCGTCCAGTAACCAATCTGAAACGGGGGAAGAATTCTCTTACCTACTAATACCAATGTTATTCACTGAAGTTGACTATTCTCCTCTTTCATCACACTTACTTCTTGCAGTCCTGAGTTCTGCAAACTAAGGATACTCATATTAAAGTTTGACCGATAACTGTGACGATCAAAGAGTATCTGGCCGGTTATAGTGGGGATTTTCGATGAGTTAAACTAAAAGAAAAGAAAAACAATTAAAATATTGTATTCTGGGTCCACTTTCACACCATCCCTTTTGCTTATCAATTAGTCGAAGGTCCCGTGATCGCACTTGCATTAAAAGTATTCACCTTATGACCAACACAGGTTGCACTGACAAAGGCGTAATTCCCCAAAGGAGTGAAGCGATGCAGGAATCTGGAACTAAATTCTGTGATATACTTTTTGTAAAAGATAGCAAAATTTTTTGACACTCTACCAGCCCCTTCAACCTAGAATCTGCATTTGATAACAAGGTTTATTTCGGTAAAAAAAAATACCGAAGGCGATCAGCTTGCTTAGAGCTGAAATTGCGTTTAGGGCCAAGGAGACGGAGGGGGAGGTGAGATACTCACGGGAGGTGGAGATGAGAGGGCGGGCGTTGTGAGGGGATTTGGGTTAGCGAGAGGCCTATCGCTGCCCTCGCCCACAATGCGGGCAAACCGGGATTGCGGTGATAATTAAGTGCGTAGTTGGTGTTGGTGGTGTGCGCGTTGTCGTGGTGTTTTGTTCTGTGCCGAGTGAGCGCGCTAGAGGGTGTGAGCGTGAGAAGAGCCTAGCCTTGCCAAAAACGCCAAATTGCCAAAAAAATGGGATAAAAGTGCAGGAGAGCTAATAGCTCTCTCTCTCTCTCTCTCTGCCTTGAGATGATGGCAACAAGTGAATAGTCAAGATTTATGAAAAATGGTGCATCACATAGTAGGTAACTGAGTCGAAGGGAAAGTCAACCAGCACAAGTGTCACAAAGACTAACCCATGGACGATAAAAAGTCCCATGAACCAAGGAATAAATCTGCAAGAGTAATCCGTAGCAGTGTTGTTAAGTCTATGAAGACTCTCGCACGATGCTGGACATCCGCGATTTATTTGGGGCTTTCACTTGTTTGTATGCAGGTAGCACTGTTTTTATACCAACCGGTGGCATACAGTTTTTAAATGCAATTTTTGTGTGTTTTTACAAAAAGATAAACGCACAAATACGATTGAAGCGACGTTTAGAATACGGAGGAGCAAAATCGTGCTTACAGCTTTAACCTCTCGCACCAAGCGCTCCCCATGCGGCCAAAAAACAGCACCCTCGCTGTCACAAGTCAGCGCTCCCGGTCGTGCCGTGATGGGGTCCTTTAAGGTCAAGAGTGTCAGTCCGAACAAAAGCATTGAGTCGTAGATGAGTGACGCTGATGCCTTAATTTTACAAGGAATACACAATTAACAAAAGTGCGCCTTGTTGAAATTTTAAGGTCAAGATACAAGGGACCCAATAATATTTTAAAGTAGCACCTTAAATTGGTTTAGGTCAATTCCCTCCCCTGCGCCTCCGTAGCTCACTGTGAGATGAATAAAGCAGGTCAAAACAATTAAACCACTACGATTAACTACTGAGAGGGATTGTTCTCAACCTCTTACCAATTCAAATATTGTGTGCTTTTTCCTAGGGCATTAAGTCCGTTAAAAAGTGAGGCATATTTGACTGAAGGTTAAAAAAATACACAAGGGAAGGTGGAAACACTTTACCGTTAGGAATGGGAGAATATCCGAGTACCTCTGTGCGCGCTCGATTTTGTTGATTGTGGAACGGAGATTTTCGACAAACGGACCACGTCCATACGGCTCGTGAACACCGACGTTGGGTATAATGGAGAAGGTTGATATGCTCGCACCATCGTCTATCTTGAAGGCACTCAAGTCCAGAAGATGGGTATCCTTAATTAATGCGAGGACAACTGTAGCTGGTCAAGCATTTGAAAATCTGGTACAACAGATACCCGGCACTGGATCTCGGATTTGCACAAATTAAGCTCGTTTTCTCTTCCACACATTAACTCTCCTCCAAACCAATTCTCAGTCACCCTCCTCTACAATGGTTTTAAACAAACTCCAGCGTTCTTATTCCGCCCCTTATAAGTGTAGTTATATATGGGCAAATGCCCAGAGAACTCCCCATTCATCGCGCTGAGACGAGTACTTTAGTTTATTTTAACCCATGGTGCCATGGTTACACACGGTGGTGAATCTGCCCGTCTGGTGCGCCTTCTACCCGCAATGGTGTCCCTCTGTCATGATTAACGCTTCTTCCAACCACTTTAAACACGAAGTGACGACTCCAAAACAAAGTCGTAGGGGGAGCCAGTACGCCAACCTCATAATATCCTCAAACACGATCAGTTGATGCCTTTCAGCTTCAATGTTTGGGTCCAATATTTTAACGTCTCTCACCTAGGTTATGAAAGCGGGTTGATGAGCTCACCTTTTTTGACTTTTCGGAAACCCTTGCGTGACATGAGCTACGTGCTAACATCAGCAACACTTTTTATGAATTTCTCCATCTCTAGATGATTAAAAAAACATCTCCAAAACAACTGGAAATATCATACTCTGTGATTACACATTTGAACCTTATTAGCTAACCGCATTTTGTCTGATAAAATTTGTTCCAAATTGTCAGACGGTAACGACTCGCAACCTTTGAGACAGGAGCTTACCCAGTCGGTGAAGACGTAGTTGTACTGCTCTCCGGTCATGTTGTGGACGTAAGCCTACAATAAAATGTACAAATGGAAAATCCTGGCCTTATTAACAAGTAAAAACGAGGAACACATGATCTTCCATTCTGAGTTTTGAAGATTTTCGAGAAATTGCGAATTTTTCTGAGTGAGTGTTGGTTACGAACAATGGCCACTGAAGGTGCTCACAAATCGTGAGTTAGGGGACTTGCACACAAATGTCGGGCCGGTTTCAATGCTAACTAACTGGACTACGCCATGCAGTGGCACAAAGTTTTGAGATTGTTCAACGTGCTTTACAAAAAAAAACAACAAGTGGACGTTAGAGATCAGTAAAATTGACACAAACAAGCTGAATGTGCGAATAGAACGACAAACACGCTGAGTACCAAAAGAGAAATTGGCACTTACCAAAACCAGAAAGTCCTTGGCATACCAGTAGGGGATATCGAGCAGGAAGTTGCGTGCATCGGAGCTTGCCAATTCGGCGACAATGGCTTTCCATTTGAAACGGTCTGCTCCAAGCGTCCGGATGACCAAAGTACCCTCAAAGTTATTCAACCACGCCGTGTGCTTCACTATGTCTGTGAATTGGATAACAAAATGCTTCTATGTAGAGCAATCTGGAGGCCTTGGCACAAACCAGTAAGGTCGCTAGAACTCAGAGACAGGCTAGAAAACATCTGTCATAGTATGAGTTGTGCCCTACTCTGGGTGGGAATCACCCAGCTCTGTTCGTGCTTAATTTTACCGTTGAAGAATATACGAACACACGTACTCCTCCCACTGCTGACTATTTCCAAAATGGAAAACCATAATAAACGATTATTTCCTTCTCCTACTACTTTTGCTAGTTTCAGGTACTGCTTCCGCTACAGTGCAAAAACCACGGCTTCTTTCCAACCTCAAGTTTCACCGAATGGAGCGAGCTGATGCCGGCAACTTACTTTAATTGCTACATAGCATAAGTTTAATAGGCTTAAGTGAAGGTTCACAAACTATCTGTCTCTAAAACATCAGTCTCGATAGGGAATAGGATACTGCAAGGACATATGCTAGAAAAAGAAAAGTTGCCGGTGTTTTTGGCTGAACAAATCATTCGAATTTCACCAAGAGATGGCGCTTAGCGACTTCTAATCATCCCACCAACTCTCACCCATAAATTATCCTCAGATGAATCTCCCCAACTCTCTGGATACGGCAGTGTGACATAAGCAAATTATGAGAGAGTTCCTTTTCTCGACATAATTTAGGCGCATGCTGACCTGAAAAACCCAGGTTTTTAATGGTAATAGATAATTAATGGTTTCAAACCAGTGATTTACTCGTGAACTTAACCCCTTGAGCCAGGTTTTGCCTGCTTAAATTCTCTTTGACACGGTCTTAAGCTTGTCCAGCATGTCGGATCGCAATTGGTATGTGGGCACAAATGATTTTCGAGTTCGCAGTTATGCCAAAGCAATTGAAATACGTGGCGCTGGCGACAGATGCGGATTGCGTTGATTATGCATGTGATGTTGAATTCGTGGACTAGTAAAACCATCATAACCGCTGCTGCCACAGGACCACCACTCCCACAGCAGTTGCTGCTACTGCTGCGTTATCAGATGAAGCCGTGCGCAGTTCACTGCCTCGGAGATGCGCTGCCACTTGCTAACGCCTGCCCACGCGCGGGTGCGCGCAAGCTCGTACGTCTGATTGTCGCCCTTTAGTTTTCAGATTTCAGAAACCCATGAAAATAGACGTCAAAAAGTAGACTTTGCGTGTTTGCGTGTGCGTGAGAGATAGAGAGGAGCGCTCACACTATATTCGGCACCAAAGGTTCTGCATAAGTGAGACAGAAAAGGGAAACACAAATTAAAATATGTAAACAGTTTAGACGCGAAATGGGACCGCTCGGCGGCTAGGCTTGGAGCGTTGGACATGAAAAACGATATCCCGCTTCTCCTAAACCACCAAAAACACCAAAGAGTTTGCTTTATAACTTTCAATTTATCAAGCTGAAAGAACATCAGTGTGGGGCAAAACTCATAGAATCCAACAAATCGCTAGGTGAATATACTACTAAAATCCCTTTTTTTTTCCTGAGACGGTGAGTTTCTTCTAAAGCAGCTATTCTCAAACAGCGTTTTTTTCTCGCACTAAAAATAAAATTAGGTGATGAAATAACTAATTTCGTCGACTAAATAAATGCCGAACAACTATGTACTGATCAGCATTGCATGGTATCAGGATATCCAACTTTGCTGATTAAAGGATATAGGCCTAAAGGAAAAATAGTTTTATTGAAACCCACATACCAGTCCCGCTACATTTATTGTAGCTTTAAGTCCCGCTGAAATGTGCTTGAGAAAACGTTACCGTTCACCGTTTCAGAAGTTTTGGCCTGTGTGGCTAACGAAACCGCCCTCTCAGTTGCCCCGTGAACGCCCTCTCAATTACTCCCTCCTGATTGGCTGAGATCGCGTTAGGTGCACGTTAAATGCACCAGCAATCTCCCCAAGCTCAAGGTCAATCAGTCACTATAGCTATGGGTGACTAAGCTGACTTTGTGACTCGGGATCGATTGCGAGCTTGTGCTGACTCCACGGCCTCCGCAGCCCGGTTGCTAGTGCCGAGCGCTCGCCTCGTACTCCCGCACTAAATCATACACATCGATCTTTCTCTGTTGATTCTCCTTGTTTCCATCGTGTTCGGTAACCATCATCCATCACATCACAATTCCAAATTGTTTTACCAGCCATCTCTACAATTGTGCTTATTTATGCGTGGCTCCCAAATCAGTAGTTAGTGCACGCTCTCGTAAAAAGGTGGTCAAGATTATACAGGCATGCACAGACTAAACTAGCAGATTTTGTATTCAATTTTGTATCAGGTAATCAGCCCAATGAGAAAGGAAATTAGATCTAAAACAGCGCGGAAGTTAAAGTCCAGTTGGAAACTGATAGATAATGTTCTAAAACACCTTGAGGTTATGATTCGCGGCATGGAAGAAACAGTGACTTCCAAACACCATTACTAAAATTAGAACAAAATTACGATTTCGTTTGGCTAAAACGAGGTTTCTGACCTAAAAATACGGTTCTGAGTCATGGCAAGCCTAAGTGTCGGAATTTGAATATTGGGGTTTTCTACGGAAGAGACAGAAGACCTACTCCCATAGTCGGCCAGAACGAGTACCACATGATTCCACTTGGAGTAGCTGGAAAGGTACTCGAAGACTGCGTCCCCGAAGGCGTCGTGCGAGGGATGGATGTTGATGGCAAATCGGCTATTGGAGCGGTCCGTGTCCCAGTGTGTCTCGATTATGGGGATGTGGAATTGCTTGGAGACCATCCGCACTGACTGACGGATTAACGGGTCGGGCGGCGACACGAAGGCCACCACTCCCACCCTGAGCAATTCGCAGGCTGTCAGAAAAATCATAAAATTTATGCAAGGTGAAGGTTCCCGTGATCACGACCACAAGTCATGAAACCGTAACAATGACCCCATTCCATTAAATTGTTTAACGCCTGTAGGGTCGCTTATTTATGAGATTGGCTTACCGTGTCAGCAGTCACTTTACAATACTCTCCAAGCAAGGCAAATTGGAGAGTATTATACTTGAAATAAAATTGCACAAGTATTTACATCAGAGAACGAAATAGAAAATCCAAATCACTTAGAAGGTCTGGCTGTGTACATAATAAATGGAAAAAAGACACTCAGAAATCTCATATGCTTAGAAATTTGGAGTATTTGTTACCGTCATTAGTTGCTGTGAGGAACTTTTCTTTGGGAATCCAGATGACTGCCGGCTTAATGAGTGGTTGACCACGGCTATCGTCCTTGGAGTAGATCATCTTCACAGTCTGAAGGCCACTAAGCATGGCCTGTTCCGTCCCGTGGTCCAGCGAGTCAAGGACGGCTCCTATAAAAAGTTGCAGAGGGATAAAAGACGTGACTAAAACGTCTTAGCCGCATCTCAGCCTATCTGCAAACCATGCTGTAGGAATGGAGCTTCGACTGTCACCAACCATTATGGCGTGAAAGCAACGTTCCCATGTCGACACAATTAGTGTATGCGACTTAGCTGGGAGTAATTTAAGAGCTCCCGGCTGACTAATTACCTATGTAAATTTTGAATAAAGAATACGTGGTATTTATACCTTAATTGCAATACACAGAATAAAAAGCAGATTTTACGCAGAATCACAAAGTGGCAAAAATTAACACCAGAATCGACTATGCTTGAATGGACGTTGATGAAACTGTTCGTCGAGTTACTTGCGTTACTTATTCTTATGCCTCCAATATACGCTTTCAGTCATTGAAAATTTTTTCCTTTCAATAACCGACTCCTTTTATTTACTTTGAGGGAATGAAATGGAGTCAATGGGGAAGTATGTCGCACCCGGAAGAGTAAGCATAACTTCACCTCAGTCATGCATAACCGGGTTTGGTGAATATTAAGCTTATACACACCTTAAATAATACGCAAGCAGAAGACAATGAACATGTGTTTTCACTTCATTTCATTCTGCAATGCTACGTGTAATGGCATTGATCTGAGAGGATATTCAGAGAGAGCAATATCTCCCAGGATTTGCAAAGAGCTTGAAGTCAAATTATGACATCATTACTTCTCGCACCACTTATACCTTCAACCTTGACTAAGGTGTATTCAAGCAACCGCACCAAATACTTTGTTTTCAAACAACACTGCGTCTTACGAGCTCACATTTACCCACCTATTATGAAGTCACGTACACCAACATCCACTATGCTCCAAATCAATCCCTTTACCTGAGCGCCTATAAGGTCGAGAAACACGCCATCACACAAAGTTTATAGCGGGATCAAAGTTGACCCTCTCATTTAAGAGGGGAGTCGTTATTAGAAGTACCGACACTCACCTATAGTAAACATGGCAGAGGTCTGTCTCCGTGTTCTATTCAGACTGTCGTCCGGGTTCGCTGATACGGAGAGCATGACCATCAGAACAATGAGACCATGTAGCTTAACCATTTGGTTGAACATCTCCGACGATAGCTAGATAAATATGTCAAACACGAGAGCACTTGTTAGTCGGGTCTGTTTCCAATGTGTATCCTGATTAGTGAGCCCCGTTTCGATGATAAACAATTTAGAAATTTATACAAATATGATCAGGGCGTCTTCGTGGAGCTCAAGAACTTCTATGATTGGAAAGTGGCTGGTGCGAAGGTTGAAATGTGGGAAATTTAGGGTCAGCTGAAGCCAACGCAAAGTTCACGAAAGAACCAGAAGAGCTGTGTTACGATTTCATCAAATTAGTTCGAATGGAAAGTGAGCTAGGGAAAAGCAGCATTCAGCAACTCATTTCTGTTTGATTATCCATCGCCACTTGCCGTTACTATTGTCTTTTGGCCAATCAAGTAACGGTGCAAAGTGTAAATGGACACCAGTTTGTGAAAATTGTGCAAGTCAACTAATAACTCCAAATGCTTAAAAATGGGACCATCCACGGAAGGTTAAATGCATTATTTGCGAGGATGGAGGATTAGTAAGGCTTTGGCGAGTAGCAGTGCTACGTGCATTTACGCCTTCAAGAGCTCCGGCTGGCTCGAAATCGGATCAGACTCTCTTTACCATCGTAATCAAGAGTGTCAGCCTAAGTAAATTTTAATCATTATTAAGGGATTAATTTGTGCGGTGGATTAACGCGTTTTTGATAAAAATACCTTCATTTCACAACTTTGGAGCTATGTTTCGTTTTATTTCCCTGAAAATGGGATCAACAAGGGTCAAGGGGGCTTCACATTTGATTTTGCATAAATACTCTGAAAAGTCGATGCTTTACCTCAGTATTCACTTCAGAGAAGTGCTTTAGAAGTGACTTGAACAGATTTTTTTTCGATATGCATCTACAATATGTGCATGCGATCTGATGTCAGTTGTAATTACCCTCTAACCAAAACACCTCCACTCTCCGGCAATCTGGAGCCCTGATGAGACAAGCGCACCGCCAAATGAAACGTCTCACCAAGCTGACTAGTCCTTTCTGTCTGGAACAAATTCAGCCGGCAGTGCTTCATAATAATCTACATAATCGCACTTTTCCCCGCTCTTAAGGCCTTAATAATCGGCCAGGCTCCCTTCATTCTTATAAGCTGTCCAACTTATAAGTAGACACCAAACTAATGGACTTACTAGCCAACCCTATGGAGCAAGCTGATCACTGGGAATTCTCTGGTTGCTCTATGGCAGCGAAAATAGCATCTATACTGGATCGAGTTTTCAAGGGACAGTAAGCAGAGCATGAATTATTCGGTGCTTAATAGGAATGCTACATTTCAAAGGAGAGCTTCATAAAAGGGGTGCAGTTCATTCGACCAAGGCAACATAACAAACACGAGCAGCTAATCGCCCTTCATCTAAATGTCGATGGAATCCACCCACATATCAAGTTTCCCTTTCTGCAGCAAGCAGTGTTCATTCACCGCCTATTAAAAAATGCCCACAGGAAATGACACCAACAAGTAATCCTACTTTATAACCCCGAAAATATTCGTGCATCCTCCCGTTTGTTACTTGATTTATTTTAACACTTGCCACAAAAGCCACACAGGCCTGCACGAGATCGCGGATCAGCAGACGCATTGTCTTCGGGTGCACTAATAAAATTTCCCTCCTATTTCCCAATTTGTAACAATTTAGTGAAGAAAATTTGTTCTACATTTCCCGTGTAGATTTTTATGCATGAGGATACCAGATATTCTATTGAAAAGGGATACATCAATTGTTAATAACGAGTTTTTTTTAATTTCACTGCTTTTAATGTCACGCAAAAAAAACGTGAGCTTGCCAAAAAGAGGATGGATTTACAAGGTTAGCATTAAACTAGCACTGACCATTTAATAATAAGGTTATGGATAGCAGAGAAATCGCACTATTCATGTACATCTAAACGGATCTTGAAGGAGCGGATGTTAGTAATTTAGGGCGTCGGCCATACTTAAAGACCCATACGCCTGAACGCCACGAATACGGTATTTTCAAACATATTGTAAGCACTTGAGAGAAGGTATTCCAAACACGCAGAACAAAGTGAGCATAAATAAGCATGAGTATGTAAGTATAAATTGAGTGTGCAAAGTATAGACACCTAGACCTACTTCCATACGAGTTTCCCCAATGCAATGGAGGCCGTCCACCGCAAGCAGCAAGTGTTCGTGCCTCTACTCTGCAGCACAACAATTTTAAGCGACCCCTCTCACATTTATTTTATGACATATGGAGGATTCTCAATTCTTAACCTTTGAATGGTCCAACCGCCAAAGGTATCTAATTTATCAACTACCCCAAGAAGGCAGAGCACAAAGGATGAATGAGTGAACGCACAAAAAACAAGTTGGATGAAAAAAAATACTAGGTCTTCGGGAGCTGCCTTGCGTGACTGTGCACAATTAAGATTCCTCCGAGTGTCTTCCCTGATTTATATGCGCCAACGAATGGGGAAGGTACGGCCGCATTGGCTTGATTGACGTGAAATTCACAACACACGTACTGCCAAATGGTTCGGGGTAGGAGATCGGTCCCATGTGGATAATTGAGTCGCTACTACTCGCCTTTCATGACGGATTTGAGCGAAAAAACCCTCAAATAACCATTTAGGATATCCTTGTGTGATGAGCTAATAAAAAAGGAAGTCTGAAAACTTTCGGTCTAACCGTGAATTTACTGGCACGAGTGTAGCAAATGGAAGAAGGAGAGTGACTGCTTATCTATTGTCCGAATTTAATTTGCGCTGCGATAGACAGAAAAACAGTTGTTTATAAAAAAACTAGAGTTGAAGTATTTCGAAACACCCTAATCGACTAGATTCAAAACAGGCTGACACCAGTCTGATTTTGCACCTTGTACTGGGATCGCTTTCAAACTTTTGGCATGCCAGGGGAAAACATCAGTAAAAAAGAGAACTGCTATGCAATGTCCAAGAATCGCATACACCGGAATCTTAAAAAATGAGCCATCGGTTGACTATGCAAATGATCGGCTACTTCAGCGGTACTAGTCAATATCCAATCGAAATTGAGCACCCACGGTGGAGTAGATAAAAAAACACACTGACCATAATTCACTGCGTAAGGGGTATTTACTCATTAAAAAATTTTCGGACGTTCATTTGGTTCATGCATGAGATGAATGTGCAAGAATATTTCCACAAAAGGCATACCGTCTTCAGTCGAAGGCCACAATCACGCAGATGTTTTGAGACTAGGGCAAAAGGACTACAACCAGCAGACCAAGGAGAAACCTAACCTCTGAACGCCCGTCGAATAGCAGTGACGATCTGGCGTCGAATCACCACAAGGCGAATACTGTGTGCGCGTGCGTGCATCCGCGCGTGCGATGCGGACGTGCAATCAACATTGTCAGCTGGTCGTGCAGTCATTGGCCAACAGCGGTATGCACGCACGGTTTGGGCCTATTGGTTAACGATTACCGTACGAAACGCGTATGTGTGTGCACAGAGGATCGAGGGTTTTCTCCTATCCTATTCTGCGTGCGCAGGGCCTGATACCAGCGCCTTTGTCAAGTGATGGACGGTAGATCTCACGTGTCGACAAAATTAGCCCCGTTAGCGGTCATGTCAAGTGGACTACGCTTGGAAAAGCAAATTATGGCTTCCACTGCTGCTCCGTAGTTCAGAGGAAAAGTGTTCAGTTAGCGCACAATTGTCCTACTTCTGATAAACGTATTTTGGTTTTTCGAAGTGGATTGACGCGCCCGAAGGGGCTATCTAGTGGAATGACGGTATCAGTGCTGATATAGCCATTAGTCAAAGTGAAATCCCACTGATCCATGCGATTTTGCTGCAATCACGTTTTTTTTTAGCCTAAAACAATATGTTTTATCATCCAACTGCTAAGCCGCGCTGTTAGCGTTCGGTAATTGCATTGCCATGTCGTCTCCCCTCATGGAAGCAAAGTGAACCGAGCCCGACAAGAATGGCGATTTTACATCCTAGTCGTTTTCGGATTGATAACTTTGTAAGGTAGACCAGATTCCCTTCAAGTTAACTGCTGGCTATTTATTTACTTTCAAGTGGCAGAGCTATTCAAATATCTGCCCCGGTTCTTCCAGCAGTCGGTTCCATTTATGACACTTGAACTCTCGGGAATCCCGGAATTCGACATTCCCCCACAAATAATGCTCTTTTTTTAGAAAGCAAGTTTTACTTTAATTGATAAGTACAGTTTTTAAATCCTTACAACTGCTTTGAAGTGCCCATCGAGGTAAGCTGGTAAAGACAATGCTGAGCCTATGTGCAGCTTTGTAGATCCAGCTACCTGATGGCAGCACCAAATTCAGAATGCGTCACAGGCCTGGTGATCTTTCAAATGGATGCGCTTATACCTCATTTTTAGTGATCACTTTCCCGATTCATTTCTTATCGTAAAAAAGGGGCTAAATATACTTGCCTTGACAAATATTGTAGCATAAAAAACGTAAACTAATAGATAGTAACAGAAGCTCATCCATGCGCCCCTTCAAGGTTAGCTCTGCCAAAAGAGAAAGCACATTCAATCCCACTCCAATCAGGCATTTCAAAATCTCGAGTGCTTCAGATCTCTTCGGAACTTTATCTAAGGCATAAGTAAACCGTCGCTTCACAGGGAACAGTATACCCCGATCTTTGTAATGAGAAAAGCGTCTTTAGAGCAATTGGTGCTAATAAGTATTAAGCTGTCTAAAAAGAATATTGTCAATTCAGATGTGGCTGTACCTGGGAACCGATGCATGTCTATATTTATCTACCTTCGAAAGCTCCATGGACAAGGGAATTAAAGCTGGCGAATTCCATTCCAGAAAAACAGAAAAATTGGAAAAGTGTGGAAGTATGAACAGAGGTCTGCCGCGCGTACCGAATCATAAATCCATTCAATCTAATTTAGCCCTTGGAAGCATAATTGAGGTGGAAGTCGTTGTCGATTGACCGTTTCGTCTTGCCACATCTTTCATGGAAGATTTCAGCTAATTATCTGTACAATGCGGACCATTTCCATGAGGGGAGGCGTCCTCGTTGCGTGAGAATTAGTTGCTACATTTCAGTCATTTGAATTTCCTGCACGTGAAAACCCGCCAAAATTTTAATCCGACTTCGTACTAAATTGCATTGAGGTGAAGGCTCCAGAAACGATCCTCCTATCTGCTAACAAAAATTGCATAGAGACGATGGTGAATCAAACAGTAGCCTGTTACTCCTTCAGTTCATTCAACCGAGTTGAATTTAGTCTACTCGTAAATCCATTCAAAGATTGAATTAATTGCGGTGCTCTGATGAATCATTTTTACCCCACCTGTTCAACCAGACCCCAAAATATCCCTTAATTTTCCAGACTTGCATTGAATAGTTGCAAATGTACTAAAAGTAGCACAAATTATCTAGATTCAAGATGAGATATTTAAGGTACATTACATGATTTTTGATGCCCATGGTAATGGGCCCTAAGTGTAGAATTACATCTAAACAGAAATATCCAGCTGTGAAAAGATTTTATATTTTTTTAACAGTGTATTGAACTATTAGGTCACTTGAGTCATTGCATGTTATGCTTCGTCTGCGACACGGCCTTGGTACCGTGATACCGACACTTCTGCACTTGGTAATATGACCTGCCGCAGCGCTTGGGCTTACTTCAACTTCGGAAGAAGATACAAGACAGTAAGTCTGTATTCTAGATACCATTTGTGGATGCCTGGCCATAACTTTGCAGAAAATTACTCAAGTCATTCCGTAATATAATCTCCAGACTAAAAGTATAACCATAGTGTCCTTACCACTTGGGGAATTGGAATGCAATGCTTCTAATTTATGTGTATCTATAAATAATTTCGATAACGAGTCATTCTGGCAACTAGTTACAAACAAGAATACGTTTCCAAAACCTTTTACGAAGAGGTCAGCAACAATAATTATAGTTGTCTTGGCTGGACATCATGTTTAAGTACGTGAACACTTATTTCTGCAGGTTGTACTTTTACTCAGTGGGATGGTCCCTAGGCCCGATAATAGCCCTATCTCCTCTGTACGCCAGCAATTTATTTTAATTCCATAATAATTTGTTCTATTACGGCTTCCGATAGGACTCAGGGTACCAGATAATAATATAAACTACACAATTTCATCATAACAGAACGAGAAATCATTGCTTTTGAATACATTTTTAATTCACTAGTTAAGAGTCAAACGCCTTACTAGAAAGACAATTTAGCCAGAAAATAATCCGTGATAGCACTTGGGGCTTTAATTCCGTACTTTCATCTAAAGTTATTAAAAAGCCACTCATAGGTGGTCTGGTATTAAGATCACTCATACTACTTTTTCTGGCAATGACCATTTTAGGATAGATTTTAACGACTCTCGGATACATTTACAATGATGCAAAGCGGGCGCACCATAGGAACTCTGGTTTTCAAAAAACAATAATATGCGTCTAATCTCAAGCGATTTTCCCCAATTTTCAGGTAATTTGCTCTAGCATGCCACATACAGAGGAGTCTTGAAATGCACAATAGCAAATCAATGGGAGTCACAGACGTGTATCAGCTTTACATCGTCCCATTCAAGAGAACGTCTCTCAACCATTTCTAATTAGATATGATACTATTTTAACAACGCGACCACCAATGCCTACAAATACCTGATTCGAAACTTGAAAATAATGATGCGTACAATCTACACTTCCATGGATCGTGTCAACTAATCCTCCCCGAATTTCGTTTGTACATGCAATTCCCAAAATGACATCCACCAAATGCTTCTTTTCTCCTTTATTGCAAGTGCCCATTCTTCACTTTCATTGAATGAAAAGCATACTGCAACAGTGACGTTGGCATACACAGACCTTTCACGCCAGTTGACTAAATGCCCCTCCGTTCACTTTAGAGTATCAGTGTGCGTGCTATGAGACCCATCCTACAATCCATGTGGTCAAATGTCTAATAGGTTGGTTAAACCAATCTGTAAGCCAAAAGTTCCAGTTTCTTCTAGTACCTAAGTTAGAACATTGTGACACCTTTCTTTTTATCCCGGCGAGGTAGGCTAACAAGGTACACCCATGCAAATTTGAATTGAGGAGCTGTTACGGTGTGGCTACCTTTGAGGTATTAGTAGCATGAATAGTCCACGGCTTTAGGCTCCCCGACGACTTTTGTCAGTACATCCACAGAAGAAGTCAGAACCTCAAAAAAATGAAATCAAGCACATTTGCGGTGTAACATGAAATATTCTATTTGTTCTATGGGTCAGCAAAACGAGGCGTCGAGACAGTTATTGCGAGCCTAGATTGGTTTTGACAGTGCAGACCGATTGTTATTGTAACTGTTCCATATTTCTAGTTTCGACAACACCAAGGACGAAATATGTGTCCGCTGCCCAGCTAATGTATATATATGTACTAAGCTGCGGTTCTCAACACCTTTTCATATTCCCTTAAAAACTCAACTACCTGAATGGCTCTGATGTTGAGAGTCTCAGTTCAAGAAGCGGCAATCAAACGGAGAATGCATTGTGTAATTCGGTTTGCCAGTTTTATACCCCACCATATATTAAGATGACAAATGAAAACAGCAGTTAAAATGGTGCCCAAAATTCAAATGGCATTCCCATAATCAACTGTTTACGCCTTTGAAACTTAAAAGGCAAACAGGGCGTGCTTCTGTCCCAACATCCCGAAAAAATAAGTATGATCACCAATAGACTTAAATAGCGTAAACTTACTACGAATTTACTGGCGCGTATTTTCCCACTACTTTCTTGGTTTACTGCATCCAACTTAAACTAGCATATAACATTTGCAAACAAAGGCGACTGGTATTTAGAAAAATGGCTTAATTACATCTGGTAAGCAACAAATTTGATAATAATGAGGTGTCAATTAATTAAAAAAGTATTTCAGAAAACGAATAATACATACTCAATTAATATCATTTCCTGAACCTTGTACCTGACGTGGGTTTAACAGACTGAAAGTAGAGCTTACTGGTTGCTTTCGGAAGAGACTTCGTGGTAGGGTGAAGTTTGTGTGCAATAGCTCGGAGAAAAATTGCCCACCGGGTTTAAGTACTACTACAGATAAAAGAATCAAAGACTTCACATGAGATATAGCCTTGGTGGTCAAATTGTTTAAAAAAACGAAAATAATTTGGTCAATTGAAGCCGTCGAATATAACTCATTTGCCAAAGGGGTTATAGTTTCCGACAATTCAGAGTTTTCTGTTAAATACTTTATAACAATGCTGCATAAAGGGCAGTCCTCATATCATTTAAATAGAATGGACATCCTATGAGAATCTAATGCTATTTAGTGGATTTTGTGTGTCGACTATTTACCACTTATCATTTTGGTGTGTACATTTATGAATTTATGCTCTGAAGTACAGATCGAATACGAAACCCCTCACGTAGAGACCGCTCTTCCAAAGGACGCTGCTTCACTCCTCACAACGACACCACGGTCTGTAGGCTACACGCAAAAGTGGCGTCGGGGTGACGCCACACACCAGCAACGGGCCAATCCCAAGTTGCTGGCAGTAATTGCTGCCTCGCAGACAGCCAATCTCATGAAGACACGTGTACAGCTCTGCCAGGCACCTCTAGAGTGGCACACATCCTAGAACTCATAGCTCCTCTACTCCAGTGGTGACTGCAGTTTTGCATTTTCTAGTCTCAGTGCTCTGCCTAATGGTGGTTTAATGTTCAGTCGACTCAGGAATGCTTGGCGCGTGTTTTCATGCAGAATAAAATCATTAAACCTAAGCAGCCGTTTTGAAAAACTGTCACGCACAGTTTGTGTCTTGTAGAATGCATTGGTGGCTGAAGTGCAATTTGATGCATGTTGCGTCATGCAATTGCGCTGACGCCTCGAAACGGAGGCAGATGTGACTGTGACGGCTGTATTGCTGAATGCAAGTCGAGGATGGGGGGTAAAGGAGGCACCGTGTGACAGCTTTGGCTATCGCAACAACAATCTGAAATGGCACTTGGCCATCTTCTTTTTCGTATTTACAGCCGATGGTGTTGGCGCAACACTCTTCCAGCCCCATTGCGGAGATTATCACAAATGATATTTCGCCTGTACGGGAGGACACCATGCACAAAAGTGATAGTTGTAAGCAAGACGGAGGTTTAATGCAACTGGTGGTTTGAAGCAAGTGTACATTTTGACTTTTTTAGATGACTAGGATGAGTTTATATATGCCAGACTTAAAATATAGCATTCGTTGTGTAAATACTGCTGTTGGCAATGCGTTGACGGCGGTTTCTTGCAACTCATTCGAAACCTGTTACCATCGCGATGCATTAATCCCACCCACTCTGTCAAACACATTCACCTCCCTAAATTTACTCTGAAAACGAAGGTGTGTGCTACTCATTGATGTCTCATGGCATCCACGATAGGCCAGCAGAGTGGTTTCATAAACGCCTAAACAATCTATTAGAATGTGACCACACAATTTGAGAAAAAGTCCTCAGTTTAACATATCATTAGTTCTTTGAACTAGTGTACAATAGCTAAAGACCTGCATTGGACACAAATCTAGAAAACCTCACCTCCACTTTCTGCAATAACGTTCCTAATGTCAGTTAAACTAACAAACATCCCATCCGAACCACCGAGTTCTCCTGACTAGCAGCCTTTGTCAAGTGACACTCGACCATCACAACTCGCACTTCCCACGTTCTTCTGCAATTCAGATAAGGGAAAGCCATTAAAGTTACGACTTAGGCTACACCATAATCTGGTCTTTTGCAGCTAAAATGCTTATTACAACTTGATTACGGAAATTACAGGAAAACACAAGGCGCTGGAGTTCGCAGAGAACAAAGCGCTGATATCATAGTCATTAACATGAGCAGCAGTGGTTAATCCAAGTATACATAGAGGAGGATGAGAAGACAAAGGGCGGAGGGGCAAGAGGAGGATAAGCTAGTGTTTGGAGTTAAACTTTAGTTGGACCAGATAGCGCAGGCGTATTTGACGCAAACAATGAACTCGTTGTACCAGACTAAGGCATTGGCCACTTTAGATTTGATGATCTTTCCACAGGGCACCACTACACCATCATCTCTATGACAACAATAGAAACACATTTCCGAATGAAGCAATCGAAAAAGCACGTAGGTAGGTAAGAAAACTCTACTTTAACAAATTACAAACTAGTTTAAACCATTCTTCGTTCGGTATCGATAAGGACACACATTCACTACCTCCACATCACAAAATACGGCAAAATAAACCTGTACATCGTGTCAGAGAGGAAACTTACAAAGTAATCCAAGTCGAAGGATCAGGCATATTGCGGCCGACGCCCAGAGCACTGTGCTTTCCCTTTGGCAATCGGTTGGCATTACGGTCTGGGTGCATCAGGGGGTTGATTTCGCCAAGGGAGACCTGAAAGAGAACACATCGATGCACTTCCGAACCTGCCTGCAAAACACTATCGTAGTTTTCATAACTGAACCACCGTTTACCATTAGCCAAACTGGCCAAGACCACATTTTCACCCGTGGTTCAACATGCCCCGTTGCTACCCAAAAATGATGCCTTGAGCGGTCAAACACATCCGCAAGCTTCAATCGTTGTTGACAATGGCAGACTAGGAAAACTTGATGCTACTTCTAGCAATTGCATAAAAAGGAGTAACCGTTAATGCTGGAACATTAATTTCGCCCACACTCAATGCGGTCTCCACGGTTCCACTGCAAAACGCCTTTTAAGAAAGTCCTCAGAAAAAAACGCATTGAAAGATAAAAATGAATCCCAGTCATTCACATAAGCCCGATTTAGCACTCACTAATCACGGCATTCATTATAAAATTTTGACGGATTTCTGCTTAAGGGTTTCACATTCGCCACCTTCGACCAAAGAATACTATGAGGAATGAATCCACAAAAAACACCAAAGGAGTTACAGGCAGCAGAAGTGGATGCAATATACCCTGCTCACCATCTTCAATTGATATGCTTTGCTCAGACATTTCAATCTCAACTACTTCCGATAAGTATCCACAACTTGGTATGAATCG